AATCTCAATCAGTTTAGCGTCCCAACATCTTGATGTCATCACTCCAATAGAACAAATTAAACCTATTGGAATAATGTGTCCATATTTCTTGAGTCCCAATAATCGGTATCAGCCCTGATCAACCCGATCGATTCTCCTCACCCATATCCACAACTTCTTCATCACTCTCTGCTGTTTGTCCGCCGTCTGCATCCTTTTCTCTCTCTGCTCTCGTGTCCGGACTCCTTTTTCTCTCCCCGTTCATTTCCGCTTCCCTCCGTCTATTCAGTTCCTCCTCTCCACCGCCACGCTCAGGCTCACCTTGTCCCCCCTCTCTTTATTTCTCACCCCATCAATCTGATGTTCCCATCTTCCCTTTTATTCTCCTCTCATGTATTTAATCTCTCTCCGTCCCTATCCTCCTCCATCACTCACCCACACAACTGCCCGGTGGTGACTGTGTAAGCCCTGTGATCACTTCCTGCCCATTAGTTTGGGTGGTCTGACAGCAGCCCGAGCCGACTGTTGAATAACAGATGTATTAATGCTTTATTAATGCTATCAGTGTGTCCCCTTCCAGGATGTGAACTAGACACTAATGAACTGCAAAGTGGAAGGAAAAAAGTGTTTATGAATTCATACGTCGCAGTTGAACTTACATGTTAAGTATTTTCACCTTGCTGTCAAAGAAGTCCTCAGCAGCTTTTGCTTTTGTCATTTTATTTTTAATTAACAGGAACATATGTAAAACTCTTGTTCTTTAAGTAAAAAAAATAACCTCTGCATCAGGGTCAGTACATATAAAGTTGATTTTTTTTTTTTATCTACAACAATCTTCGTGTATTTCATGAAGCCCTGCAAAGTTTTACCTTTACACTGTTATCAGATTTGCAGGCCTTTGAAGTACAGTCGCAACTTTATGCTTTTCCATTTCTGTTATTTTTCTGTTATTTCTGACCCTCATAAATACAGCAGATGGACCGATAAAATTTTAAGAGATGAAAACACCTTGAGTTCTGTTAAAAACTGCAACCAAATCAATTTCACATCCACTCCCAGTGTCACAATCCAAAGATTAAATCTCGTTTTTTTGTTTAGCACCAACTTTTTTCAATCACCAACTTTGACCGTCGACGTCGGGGCGTATTTCATAGAACTGCACCGCTGTAGTAGGAGATGTTTTGACACAGCAGGAATCGTGTCTAGAAGATGATCCTGGTATCAGATGTGTGTAAAAATGATCCTTTCATTGTCTAGAACTTCTTCTGACCAACCACCATCACACATGCTGATATGAGCCTGGAAAGTTTACCCAGAATGCACTTGTTTCTATCAATAAACTGCATCACATTAAACTGCTGCAGTTGAAACTATGATATATCCCATAATATTAAAAAAGACACACCTGGATGGATGTAAGACTGATCTGATTGCAGCCTGTAAGTCTGAAAATATGAAAACATGGCTTCTATAAATATACTAGAGTTACTGCACATTAAAACCAGCTGATTGTTGGAGGAGGGGGGTCAGCTGGGAGTTTCTGATTGATGTTTTCATGGCGTGAAACATATCCAATCAGATGGAATTGGTTGAAGGTGTGAAGCCAGTGCTGTTCCTATTTATAGCGGCGGCCTAAAAGCTGTGTAATTGTATATTTGTACATAGTAAGCCTGCAAACAGACACACAAAGTGGGCTGCACGCATCGCCACCAGCTTCCCTCAGTGACAGATGGTAATGGGCTCCAGGTGAGGGGAGGTTGACAGCATCCTCATATTTAAGCGTGTGTATTCTTGTACTCGTGTCCTTGTGAGTCCCTCTTGGAGGTGCAGACCTTTGGAAGGAGGACATTTTTCCAAAATGAGGTCAGTTTGGATGGTTTAGGGTTAGGAAGCAAACAAAGTCGGTGCGAGGTTCCCTGAGGATGAAAGCACAAAGATGTTTGTCTAACAGAGACTCTCTTGTCAGTTTCCTCAGTGCATGTGGTTAGCTTGTGTGCATCTAACGCATGTCTTTGTGTATATTCATGAGTCTGCTTCCTGTACGGATGCATGTGCATTGCTGCCGTTATGTATGAGCCTGTATATGTGTGTGTGTCCTCGCCAGCCGCTGACCGCCATGCCGGAGTGCAGTCAGACGCCGAGACGCCAAAGGCCGGACTACCTGGCCGACTTCAGCAGCGGCAGCAGCGCCGACAACTCCTGCACCTCTTCAGACGAGGAGGAGGAGGAGAAGAGGAAAGCAGGAGGAGGAAGAGGTGGAGAGAAGAGAGGGGAGAAGAAAGTTTCCTACGACCTTGGGGAGAGCAAGGAGAAGAACTTGGCCGAGCGCTCAGGTAGAGCGGCGCGCTGTGTGAAAGTGTCTCAGAACGTCTTTATTAGGAAGCCTAAGTGTGGGGCTTTGACAGGGACCTTGTTCTCTGTGATCTTTGCTGTTTACTTTGTTTGCTGCTCACTTCCTTCCTCCTCGTTTGACCTTCGTCTCTTTCTTCTGCGCTCTCTCTTTTTTTGCTTAGCTGCTCAGCCTATTGTTTCTCAGATGTGTAAATGTGAACGCCTACGTATTTACACATTTTGAACAGTTTTGTTTGCGTTCGTTGACTACAACAGATGATGAAGTACAGTTTTATCGTGAGCCTAAATCTATATAGTGATTCAATAATGAAAGTGGAATTGAACCTGGCTCCAGCCTGATTCATCTTAACCATCATATTTGTAAGCACACATTTTTGTTTTGCTCTGATCAGTACCGAGGCTGAACATTTACACTCAGATGTTCATCAGCCTTCTGCATTGTCTGTATAAATATTAGACGAGTATCCTGACCTTATTATTAATATCTCTATGCACATTTTCCAACTCTCAACCACATAAACACTTTCAGGTGATATCAGAGTTATGGTAAGCTGTGTACCAGTATTCAGGAGCGTCATTAATCAGGTAAAATGAGCTAAAAAATTAATTTAATTGACACTTAAAAGCCCAAAATTGTGAAATGCCTTGTTGACAGATGCAACACTCTTGGAATAACCAAATGATTGAGGCGTGACGACCAGACAGTCTTCACAATCTTCACCAGGGTCACATGAAATACACGGAGAGGAAAAGGAACACATTAAAGTCACCGTAGCAGCAAGAAATATGTGTTCTGAGTTTGTCCTAGCATAGAAAATTGTTTATAACCACCCAGAAAAATTTAAAAGATTAAAAGAATCTCAAAGAGTAAACAACTAGGTTTTCAAAATTGTGAAAAAAAGGAAGCCGTTATTCTCAGAAACACGGGAAATAAAGGAAACCAAAATTAGCTGCACTCACCTCGCAAACTGACCTGCGGTTGTTTTAACTAAACCAAAAAGGTGAAACCACAAACACAAACTGTAGATACGGATCATTTGTGCCACTTTGCAGCTGTGGGCTGTGAGTTAGCTACGATAATAAACAAAGCACACGAGGCAACTTGAGCGCTTTTCATACCTGCTCTCCTTTCTGTTAATCTGACGACATCTGAACTCGTCGGCTTCATGTCTGAATCAGTAATAAACAGTTAATTAAATGCCGGCATCCATACGAGGCCTTCAAAGCGAGAGAGTTGTGTTCATGGAACCACAGTGGTAGCTTCATGAAATATCTTTATAAATGATCCCCAACATGGAGACAGGATGGATCAGACAAGAAGGTCAAACTGAACTTTTCTTCACAGTCACAGTTTATGAGTTGCAGGTAAATCATTCATTACGGAGCGGATTTAGATGCAGTCTGTAGTCTTTTTAGGTATGTGTGAATGAAGCCGTGAGGAACGTTTTCATAAAAATCACCTATATTAGTGCGTTTCACGTGGCTTTCTTCTCCGTCTGTGTTTTTTCCACTTTACAAAATCTCCTTCACCAACTCCGAGCAGCAACGTACACACTGAAAATTTTAAATTTTGCAGAATATTTGGAATAAAGCTGGTTTTCTTTCTATTTAATGACAGTTCTCAACCTCCCAAATGTTCCATCAAAGCAATTCCCCCGTCACCGTATCGCTGTTGGTAGCCCCACCGAAGACCACTGTGGCTGGTGTAAAGAAACACAGCACAGCGGTTTTCGCCCTACAGCAGAATAACGTTGAGGTGCAGCAGACCATTCTGCTCAGTGCTGTGTCAGCGCCACACAGCCACCGATGCCAGGGCTCTTTAGCTCCTATAACATTACATTGTTAGGGGCAGACGCCACGATTCGGTTCTACATACTTCAGTCTTTTTCATGTTTTCAGCAATTATTTCTGACATGTATAATGGATGGATTGTAAATCAGCTCCCAAAACTACCGCTGGTTTCAGAAGGTCTTTCCTCAAGCAGGAATAAATCTGCAGAATTCGAGAAGCCACGATCTTTACGCACAACAGTCCAGCACGACGTGCACCCGAGCATCCGCCGCTCGGCCGGCCAGCCGGCAGAGATGACTAAATAATGACCCGGCCTTCTTCCTCACCTGTCTTAAATCTTAACTGAGAACTTGCGGGTCCTTCTCCACCGTGAGATTTACAGCGAGGGAAGACAAGACTTTTTATGAGAAGCATTTTGGAAAGTTGTGGTTGCTGCTTCAGCAAAAGTTGAGGGTAAGCAGATCCAGAAGCTGGCAGACTGGAGATCGAAGGCTCTGGGTCACTAAATATCCTCGAAAGGCCAAAAAATAAATAAAATTAATTGTTGTTTAATTGGTCAGATTAAATTTTTTTTATGAAGCTGTTGCGCCAAAGTGCTTTCCATTTAAAAAAAAAAAACAAAAAAGATGATAGTAGGTGTTATGAACTAACCCTAAAAAGTTAAAATATGCTGGTTAAGACCCTACAGTGTTAATTATGGTGTGATCTCACCTGAGTAATTTACACATTAGGAGTTAAAACCCCACAAAAATGATATAAAAATACTACTTTACTTGACTTATAATACATATTAAGTCTTGGACTCAACCGTGTCTTTGATTATGGAGATTAACCATCTAACTCAGGGTACTTGTTTGAGTTGAGGAAGATTATCTTTAAAGACAAAACTCACTTTTCTTTTGTTGAACATTCAGGTTTGAGGTTTAATAACATTCACTTAGAACATTGCATTTGTTCAGCGCTAGAATATAACTTGCCTAAAAATATATTCACGAGCCTAAATGATGTAATAAATTAGCAGCAGATCCTTGAATTTTAATTAAAGCGTAAACAGAATGGCCACATCCTTCGCGATGCGGCTCTTTGTTGCCGAGTTCTTCAGCAAAGGAGCGCTCTCGTGTCCCAATCACGGACCCACACATACAGAAAATGTTAAAGAACTGAACTGAAAAGCACTCGGGGGGGAAAAGAAAAGTGTCCTGAACGTTGCACTTCCAGTGAATAAAAGGTGAAGGTGGAGAAAGAGATGAAGAGAAGGAGGAATTTGATTGAAAGAGAGTAAAAAAAAAAAAGCCTCTTTTTGTTGTGTACCTTGAAAACACCTTGAGTTTAATGCTTAAATATTCCTTTTTATAGGCAGAGTGATAAGTCTCAAGCATTCCCTCAAATTCGCATAAGTCGCATACATCAACTCACTTTCGGCTCTCAGAAGCGAGAAAGAGAGCACCTTTCATAGCAGTGGCGACCTTGGACGGGAGGAAAAAAGAATCCTCTGGTTGCATTGTGGGTTGCCAGTGTTGCTCCTCAACAGAGAGGACACTTGCATGAGCTCATTCTGTTGGTCGCAAAATAAGGGACAAAGCCCCTAAAAAAAAAAAAAAGGAGAAAAAAAAAAAGCCCAACTTTTGGACAAAGTGTTGTGTGTGTGTGTGTGTGTGTGCAGAGAGAGACGGCAACCTTGCCAAGCCCTACTCCATACCAAGCCACCAAAGGGCTGCTACGACTAAGCCCCATAATGCTGTCATTTGGCAACGGGTAAACCTCAGAAGGTTCAGCACACACACACACACACACACACACACACGCTGCACGAATAGCAGCACACACTAATACACTGGCTGGTAGACAAGCTGGAGGAGTTTCAAGGGTGATAGAGAGTGTCAGTATGGGTTTTCTACTTCATTTTCCATGTGCTTGTCTAATGTGTGTGTGTTTCTGAGACAGACAGGGAGCTGCTCTTTAATCCGTCCCCAAACCAGACAGGACTACCGCTTAGTTTCTGGTTTTAACTACACATGCTGCGGTCGTTAATAACACGCACGCCGGACCGCTGGGCCAGAATGCCAGAGTGCGGCTGTGGGAGTTTTTAATGCCGCACTTCATCTCCAAACCCACCCGCCAACGGATGGAAAACAGAGACGACAGCTTGACAGTGACGGGGGCACTGAGACGGGCTCAGGGAAGAAAAGAAATTGAAGTGTGACAGTGAGTCAATGTTCTCTCCACTCCCTGTCCATCTCCCCTTGTTTCCTCTGCAGGTCGCATGCACTTGAAACCTCCAATCAAGTCACTCAAAACCAGCACCGCCCCGTCCGCCTCGCCGACGCTCTCCGGCCCAATCCGGCGCTCCATCTCCTGCCCGCGCTCCATCGCCTCCCTCTCGTCGCCCAGTGAGGTGCGAGCGCTGTCCACCAGGCCCTCGCCCACCGTCCCTGTGGCCACGCCCCTCGTCCGGCCGAGCTCCGCCACGCTGCGCTCCCATTCGCTGAGCCGCAGCGGCTCCGCCCACCGCGTGCCTCACAGCAACAGCCTGGGGACCATCCACTCCAACATAGTAGGACACTCACACACACACACACACACACAACGTGGGGTTTACAATTCAGCGGGTGTCACATGAGGTGTCAGCAGGACTCTTTCAGATAGTGTCATATTTCTAAATGTGTCAGTCTTTCAAGTAAAGAACGTATTAAAAATTACTTCTGCGGCTCCCGTCGTGCGTCCTGACCCGCTAAGAATCTCTTTACCAGGTCCCTCAGTACTGTAACGGCCTACTGTAGCCCACAACAATAACCTTCTATTATGCTGCCATCTGTTGCTTTCCGCCTGCCTCCTCCATTCCCCAGTAACCTTTGGATGCAGTGCAATGGACTAAAATGGAGCAGAATAATTTTTGGCAGAGCAGAATAAAGTGGAAAACCTTTATCCTGAAAGAGGCCACAGAGTGCACCAGTTGTGTGCTTGTATCTTTGACACTCAGATACACAAAATAACATGAGAATCCTTGTTTTTTTTTTGTTTTTTTTACCTGCCTGCACACTTGAGGTTTCCTGTGGGAATCGCACATGTATGTGGAGATAAGCGCATGCTGGAATGGGAAATCTACAACTGAATCTAGCTTCACCAGCGGGTGCAGCACTGTAGTAATAATAACGCTGCATTTTGAGGAGAGTTAATTTATGCATAGCACGCTGCACGCCACCAATACGCTCCGTGCTAACCGCAATGCAAAGAAATAATGATGTGTGACTATAACAGGTGGTAGGATCGTGAATTAATCAGCTCTTATGGCAGAACTGCTCACATGCCTGTGAGGTTTAGTGTCCCTGATGAGTAGAAATAACAATAAGTGATTCGTTTTGTGCAGTAATAACAGTTTACACCCTGTTCTCGTGTTTCCATGTGAATGTAAACAAACATTTACGTGTGATTATTTTGTACTCCAGTGATTTAGAGGAGCTGCCTACAGAAGACAGGATTGATAGAATTTGCCTTTATGGTCTGGTGAAAATACCATCGTTAATTATAAACTGAAATATTCTGTTAACATATTATAATTTTATGGCAGTGTTTCTGACAAAGACATTTCTGACGCTGCATACAAATAATAATACGTAAGAATCAGTGTTGGTGCCGAATATGACACATCCTA